TCTGTGTGTGTGTGTGTGTGTGTGTGTGTGTGTGTGTGTGTGTGTGGTCACAAAGATTTAATATCCAAGGCCCCGTGTGTGTGTGATGTCACAAAGATTTAATATCCAAGGCCCTGTCTGCTCTGCATGGAGATTAAAGATCAGTGGTGAGTTGCCCTGATATCCTTCACCAAAATCTCACCTCTCCTCATACTCTCCTCGGGGTGTTATGGAGTAGTTGATTGCCACTTCCATCATGTATGTAATGTAGTTCAGAAGCACTATAGGAAGTGCAATATGGCTCTGATCTCAATGAAATCATTGAGAGTCTCTGCACTGATTTCAGTGGGAATTGGAACATACCTTAAATGAATGCAAAATATTATTACAAAATATTGCATTAATAATAATTATTTTTAACCCGTAACCATCTTTGCTGATCATACAAGAATTTCTGTTTTGTAAACTAAAATACATTCTATGAAACTGTAGTGTGCTGGAAAATGCTCTTCCATAAGGCTACTCCTGCTATTAGGCTTTACTATGGCTATGTAGACAAAACTTAGATAGAGGAAATGCTTTGTATAATAAGCATCAATAATTTAAAGTAGCATATTATTTAGATTGACGTACCTTCAGTTATAATTATGGATAACCAGACAGCATTTAGAGTCTGAAATATTATCATTAGTTGTCAAAAGAGTCTTACGTCAAGCAAAATTTACCCAGATCTCTTCTTTCTTACTAGTTGGATATTGTACATATGAACATTTACTCTTTAAGGAACAGATTTTCTGCTGCCATAAAAGTGTAACAAAAATAGGTAAAAAATGACATCTAGCAGTAACGTTTGGTAACCCCATAGCAATTGCCTGTGTCTTTCTGTAGTGCTGCAAATTAGCATCTTATATCCAACTGTTTTAGCACTATATGGGTCTGATCCAAAACTCATGGAAGTCAGTGTCTTTTCATGGACTTCAATGGGCAGATCAGGTCCTGATAAGAGCTAAGCATTATCATTTTAATTAATTATATAATATAATTATTATTATTATCATTATCCAACTGATAAAGAATTGATAAAACTATTTTAACAAAGGCCTGAAACTGTAAGGATAGCAGGTAAACAGACGCGTCCCTCAACCTCCCATTGGGGTGCATGCGCTATAGTTCCCCCGTAG